TATAGTTGATATATACAATGTTGTGTTAATTTCTGCTGTACAGTAGAGTGATTGAGCTACATATGTTCTTTTTCATAATTTTCCATTATGGTTTATCACAAGATATTGAATATAGTTCCCTGTGCTATACAGTAGGACCTTGTTGTTTATCCATTCTATATATAATAGTTTGCATCTGCTAATCCCAAACTCCCAGTCCATCCCTACCTACCCCCCACCCCCACCCCTACTATGGCATCCACAAGTCTGTTCTCCATGTCTGTGAGTCTTAAACAGCTTTCTAATTCAGCTCCTGTTAGGCACACCCTATCCGTGAGTGTTATGTTGATGAACTGTAGTAATTTATCTAAACCCAGCTGCAGTCTTTCTTCATGTAGAAATGCAGCTGCCTAAGGAGATGTGAGTCAGACCAGAGGCTTGGCTTAGGGCTTAGACTCACACCTCCTTGTTTTCTCGTATTTTCTTTTCCTAGTCTTGTGTTTCAGAATTAAAAGGTATCAATGACTTTGTAAATAGGTCAAGAGGGCACGAAAATACATAGTTGAAAGATGTTCCAAGTCTGCTATTGAGGCAGGAAAAGGATGGAAAAAGATACCAGGCAAGACTAACCCAGAGAAAGCTGGGGGCATTATTAATATGAGGTAAATGAGACTTTAAAGCTGTAACACTTTAAGAATCATTATTGGCTCCGCCCCCCCAGAAAAAAAAAAAAAAGGAATTCCCTGGCGGTCCAGTGGTTAGGACTCGGTGCTTTCACTGCTGTGGCCTGGGTTCAACCCCTGGTGGGGGAAGTAAGATCCCACAAGCTGCACAGCATGGCCAAAAAAAAAAAAAGAATCATTATTAGAGACCAAGAGAGACGTGTGGTGATAAAAGGAAGATAAAATAGTTCTAAATTTATAGGTATCTAATAACAGCCTCAAAATACATAAAGCAGACATTGACAGATCTAAAAGGAGAAACAAATCCATAGTTGATGGAAGATTTAAAGTCATCTTTCAGCAGCTGATAGAACAAGAGGAAGCATTATCTCAAGGTTAAGAGCATAGACTGGAGTTTCACAGACCTGAGTAGTCCTGGCTTCGTGCATCTATAGGTGGTAGAACTATATAACAAAAAGCGAGGGATTGATTTTAAAAGGACAACATTTATTGATACTTCTGGGGGGTAGTGAAGCAGGACGAAGAAGGGACCCAAGATGGGGGTGGGAGGGTGGTTTCTGGGGTGCCCGCAGTGTTTTGTTTCTTGACTTGGGTGACAGGTAAACATCGGGCTTTGCTCTGTGATTACGCATTGTAGCCTACATTTATGATTTATTCCATGAGGTTATATTTCACAATTTAAGAATACAACTTAAAAAAAATCTGGTTCTGTTGTTTACTCACTTGGGAGAGTTATCTTGCCTTTTCAACCTTCACTTTCCTCACTGGTGACGTGGCAGTAATGGGGGTGCCTCAATCTCTGTGGTGTTGGGAAGTAACATATTCAACTGTAAGTGCTCAAGAAAACACTGGATTCCTGGAGATGACCTAGAATGGGTATTTTTGATTACCTAATGTTCAGTTCCTCTTTACCTGCAAATCGAGGATTGGTTGTAACAGCAGGAGTGGCTGCACTTCTGCCACCTCCAGGTGAGCTGCATCCCTGGGCAGTGCCCCTGTGGATGGACGTGTGTGCAGGCACCTCCTATGCCTCCCCAGGTTATTTTGGAGCTATGATTGAGGCCAAGGGAGGCGTCTCTTGAACCCAGCAGCTACCGGTGAATAGCTTCAGATTAGATGTCTGTCTTCTTGTTCACACAAGGACTTTATTCAGGTAAAATTCCCACATGAGGAATTTCTGCTGCGTTCCTGCTAGAGAAACTGAGGCAGGCAGGGAGCGTGGCTTCATAGAATTTGGCTGGATGGAATTGAGTGGTTACCTAGTGTAGTGGCTTTCAAACTTTTGTCTTCAATTTAAAGGAAGCTTTTCTTCATGAGTCTTACATATAACAGCCCAATTCAGAAATGGATGAAAGCTGTGTTGATCTGGTTGGAAAAAGGAGTGGAGGCTTGGAGTTTTGCAGGAGCTTAGAGGGCCCTGAGGTACCCCCATGGAGCCACAGGGCACCATTTGGAAACCACTGATGTAGTGTAACTATTTTATAGATGAGAAGGTTCAGGGAAGGTAGGTGCCAATGGGTATATGATTAGTAATAGTACCATAGGGCAATAAGCATCCAAGGTAGTTAAAAAGATTAGCTTCACAGTTAACAAGTTTTTTTTTTTTTTTAGGTACGTGGGCCTCTCACTCTTGTGGCCTCTCCTGTTGCGGAGCGCAGGCTCCGGACGCACAGGCTCAGCGGCCATGGCTCACGGGCCCAGCCGCTCCGCGGCATGTGGGATCCTACCGGACCGGGGCACGAACCCATGTCCCCTGCATTGGCAGGCGGACTCTCAACCACTGCGCCACCAGGGAAGCCCTTAACAAGTATTTGTTGATGTGCCATTCCATTTCAAAGTATAGACCAATTCTCCCAAATAGCCCCTGTGTTTTCCCTCACAGGGCATGTCAGCTTTGATGTTTGTGCTGGTCCTATAAATCAAACTTATGGTTGACTCCTGGGTCTCCGGATGAGGTTATGTGCTTACATGTGCGTGTGATATAGAAGTTCAGGGTGGATACAGCTCTGGTGTGGAATCATTTTTTCCTCCTGTGTCAAGAGCTCCTAAGGAGAGAATGACGGTGTCCAGTTAGTTTTCTCCCAAAGTGAAAGAAGCTAAAACAGCTTGTCTGGTAAGACTGAAAGCCACAAGGCAGCCTACTTGGCAGGGACAGAAGTCCAGAGTCTGAGACTTCAGCTGGAGCCAGGAGGAGGATGAGTGGGAGAGCTGGGCTGCAGGCAGGTGGCCAGAGGGAAGAGAAATTTGAGTTTCTGAGGCAAAGTTTAGGCATTGACGTTGCATCAGTAGGCTGCGGAGGGGGTATGAAAGGCATCAAGAGATATTTTTTAAATGTATTTTTATTTTATTTTAAATAAATTTAAATAAATTAATTAAATAAATTAAATTTTAAAAGTAAATTAAAAAATGTATTTTAAAAATTTTGGGCTGCACCACACAGCATGCGGGATATTAGTTCCCCGACCAGGGATCAAACCTGCACCCCGTGCAGTGGACACAGGGAGTCTTAACAACTGGACCGCCAGGGAAGTCCCTAAAAAACGTATTTAAAAATTTTTTTTCTCCAGCCCTGCCTCTGCCCAATTTTCCTTGCCAGAGACAGCCACTAATTTCTTATATATCCTCTGGCAGTATTTTTTTCGTAGATGTGTATAAATCTCCCCTCTTTTGAAACATAATGTACACTCCTCTGCATCTTGCTTTCCTCAGTTAAATGAGTATCGTGTTTTAAAACAAAACCATAGTGTAAAAGTTAGGCAGTACAAAATGGAATCGTTGATGAGAGACGGAGAAGTATTATTTGCTTCACAGAAGGGTTCCTACTTAGAGAAGGACTCAGGCAGGATTCCCTTGAACAGAGACCCAAGGGAATTCTTTTTTTTTGAGGAGGGAGTTGTTTGTTTGTTTGTTTTTTGGCTGCATGGCTTGTGGGATCCTAGTTCCCCTACCAGGGATCAAACCCGGGCCCCCTGCAGTGGAAGCGTGGAGTCCTAACCCCTGGACCACCAAGGAATTCCCATGAGTTCATTTTCTTGTGTGTGTGATCTCCCTCTCTCCCTCTGTGTTTCTGTTTCATCGGGGTGTAATAAAAATAGCAGTGAACTGGGCTTCCCTGGTGGCGCAGTGGTTAAGAATCCACCTGCCGATGCAGGGGACACGAATTCGATCCCTGGTCCAAGAAGATCTCACATGCTGCGGAGCAACTAAAGCCGTGCACCACATCTACTGAAGCCTGCATGCCTAGAGCTCGTGCTCCGCAACAAGAGAAGCCACTGCAATGAGAAGCCAACGCACCGCAACGAACAGTAGCCCCCGCTCGCTGCAACTAGAGGTAGACTGCCCGCAGCAATGAAGACCCAACGCAGACAAAAATGAATAAAATAAATTTATTTTTTAAAAAAAAAGTAGTGGACTGGGGCCACCCTTGCTTGCCACCACTCAGGTGGGTTCTGGTCACGTAGGCTTAGAATGACCATATGATTTATTACCCAAACTTGGGGACTTCTAAGAGTGAAAGGGGTGCTCCACACATCTCTCCAGAACCACAAACCAGGTTGGTCTCGGGCAAATCCGGGGTGTATGGTTTCCCTGCTGAGACTCTCCCTTACCTTCAGTTTCTTAACCGGCAAGTGGGGATGTGAACACGGTGTCCTAAGAAAGAAGAATTTTCTGAAATAATTAGGAAAATGCATCAACATTTGAGCTAATTATGTGAAAACAGTAACTAGTTGTGTAAAGGAAGGGAAGATAAAGCAGCACATTTTGAACTGGTGATGTCATTCACACCTGTCAAAGGGGCCCTAATCCAATGCCCTGGGGAGAGGTACAGTTTGTATTCAAGGGACGGGGTGGATTATCTTTTGTGAGGTTCACCAGAAAATCAAGCAGAGTGAGTTTGATCATTTACTAGAGTAACATTAAATGAGGACCAAGAGAATAATAGGTATTAATTAGCACAAAATGTAGTAGAGTTTGAGGTACACATATACACACATAGATTGCATATTCTGGAACATTGCTAGAATCCACTTTTACAGCATAGAAGTAGTGAGAAATGGCTCCCTCTTGGCTAAGAAAGTTTTATGACCTAAGTACCCATAAATTGCTGAAGACAATGCTGTGGCTCACACCAAGGTGAAGGTCTCCTTCATAACTATGTGCGCACATGGAGGTGCTGGATCAGGTTTTAGTACGAAAGACAAAAGACATCAGATGAAAGCTGGACACAGAGCAGGAGACAGCCTAAATTCAGGCAGGCATAGTGCCTAAATGTCCTGTAGCTCCACCCCACCCTTTAGTCCTGAGTGGAAACGAGAGAGTCAGCCAAGTTATGCTAGAATGCCAGGTATTTTCCTTAATAAGAACTTAAATAAACTGCAGAGCCCTGCTGGGAAAACAGACAGCTCAACATACCCTAATGAAATGCTCTTGAAAAAAGCTTCTGTGTCTCCCATTCCTTTCCTGAATTGGATCCAAACTATGACTAAAGTGCCTTCGATGGAGGGAAACCAGGGCTATTTGGGAAAGAGTGATGGAAAGTTTTCTTCTTTTTTCCAGAAAGGTCTGCACCTTCTGTGAAGACTACTGCTGGCAGAGTGCCAGACTCAATGTCAAGGAACAAGAGTGGGTCTTGGTGAACTGGCCGTTGTCCAGAGCAGAAGAGGCGCTGATAATGAGAGCCTTCTCTCTCTTTTGCTGAGCCCTTCCGTGAACTCCCTGCAGAAGCCACCCGCAGCCGAGGCCTCCTGTAAACCATCCCTGTTCATCCTCAAACATCCTCAAAGCCAAGTGTTTCAGAATCAACCTTTTCTTCTGTGAAAATAAAAGTTCCTCTATCTTCCATGTCACCTAACTTGTTTCTGTTGTTATTGCTGATTTGGGTATGTAGTAAACCATCACGGAATTCATTTGTTCATGTCTTCAACAGGTATTTATTGAGAGTGTAGTGTGTGTCAGACACTGTTCTAAGAACTGGGCCATACTGGTGGATAAAACAGCTGTGGTCACTGTTTTCAATGGTATTTGAGGTCCTGGAGAAGAAAGGGGAGAGAGAAGCAAATAAATGTAAAATTATACATTCTGTTAAGTCAAACAGGAAAAGAACAGGGTGATGTGAGAGAATAATGGGGGGAGGAGAGCAGAGGAGGATTGTGGCAGAGACAACAGAGGACTGGGTGGAATCTAGTCGCTCCTGGGCTCCAGTATCCCGGCCATCTCAAATACAGCAGTGCGCTTAATAGGCAAACAAAACTAGTTTATTCTAAGACAGCTGCTGGTTTCCCTTCCAACCAGATGGTCATTGCTAAGCCCCTTCTTTATAGAAATTCTGGACTGTGAATTGTCCTCAGCCCCAGAAGGTAACAGGGTCTTAAAAAGGCTGATGGAGTGAGTCATATATTTTGGGCACCTTTTACTTGGCTGTTACAAGGAGGCAAAGGATAAGACAGACATGAAGCTTGTGTTGCTCTTCACCCAAATGAACCTCTCCCACCAATTTTAGGCCATTTCTTCTGGTCCCCAGAGGCCCACCTCCCTCCCCATTAACAGAAGGTAAATCCTGTGTTACACCCCAGCAAAAAGAGGGTGACAAAAACATAGTCTGAAAAAGACCTCACAAAGGCAAAGAAGTTACACTTGATAAAACCCTCTACTAATTGCAGTTCCAAATAGTGAAAAGCAGACTTCAGTGCCACTGCCTAATTTTTATTTTATTATTGTTTGGTATTGCTTAATTATTGGTTGGTGTTAAACATATAGAGTTCTGCCAGGTGTTGTTCTAAGCACTTTATAAATATCAACTTATTTAATTCTCAGAACAACCCCATGAGATGGATTCCATTGTCATCCCCATTTTACAGATGAGGATACTGAGGCACAGAGAGATAAGGAGATTGCTGGGGTCACACGGCTAGTTAATGACAGGGCACAACTTTGAACTAGCAATCTGGCTCCCGAGCCCATCTGCCTAACCACCATGTTGTGTGGCCTCTGAGTAACATAGCTAGTATATTTAAGTAGTTATGTAAGTATTCGTAATATACTTTAAAAGAGCACACAAATTATATATATATGTGTGTATATCTATACATATATATAATGTATATATATAATTTGTATAATATATTTGTATATTTTATATTATATATAATTATATAAATATATTATATTTGTATAATACATACATATATATATATGACCAACATCTTTTCTTTTATAAACTAGCATCTCTCTCATGGTTAAATAAGTGATTTCAGGACGGGGGCATTTAAGGATCTTAAGGCTGTCTGGTGCTTTTGGCAAGGAAAAAGATCAAATAAGCAAGCTGTAAGGAGAAGTGAAAACCTTCCATTACACTGTTGCCATGTAGCTTCTAATTTTACCTCTGTTAGGGCAGGTACATACCTTATCATGCTGAAAGCCAGAGGGCCCAGAACAGAAGCCCCTAATTCCCTACATTTAATTCGAAGCCTGTCTGTCTCCCCTTTTCTGTTACTCTGGGCTCTATTTCTATGAAGACAATATTCCATGTGTTTTACAAACGGTGCTCGAAAAAGTGTACTTGGCCTGTTTGGATCCTTGGTGTGGGTGAGTCAGGGATTTCCATTCAGCTTTGGAAAAGGCTGAAAAGCTGTCTTGCTGGAAAAGTTCCACTGTCCTCCCGTTTTCCTTGGCTGTGTCTTTGCTGCCTGTTACCAGCAAGATTAACTCGTCCTGAAGTTTTGCATGAAAACTAATTTTGAGTTTCTTTTGCTCTTGTCATTTGCTTCTTGCCCCAGACCAGAATTCTCTCGTGGTCTCAGTCCCAACATCAAGACTGTAATTTAACAGCAGAGGGTGCTGTGAGCCTGTGGTTGCCCAGGCCTCCGCCAGAAAAAAAGAAGATAAAAGAGCCCCCCGCTGATTCAGCCAGCCTGAAAGAAGGCTTCTCATTGTCTTGGCCCCTTGTGGCTACTGAAGATCTTGCCTGGGGGACGTGGAGTAGTGAGAGGTTTCTCGAAAAGCCAGCAGGGAATGAAGAGACAAGTTGTGGCCTTCTGGAAATGATTTGTCATTTGTGTTTTTGAGAGTTTCAACCCTTCTCTGGTCAAATTGATGCTTGATATTTTATGCCCTTACCTCCATGAAGACCAGAGATTCTGAATAGTGCTGAATCCTAACTTAATTCAGAAAACAGCATCCGCTTTCCGGGCTCAGCCTTAGTTTGCAACGACAAGGCTAAATGCTCTAAGGTCAGAATCACGGGTAAATATGGGACCTGTTTTGATGCCTCCCTCAGGAGAATGGTGAAGGAAATTGAAGTCCGCCAGCACGCCAAGTACACTTGTTCCTTCTGAGGTGAAACCAAAATGAAGAGCTGAGTTGTGGGGATCAGGCACTGGGGTTCCTGCATGAAAATTGTAGCTGGTGGTGCCGGAACCTCCCAGCCCACTTCTGCAGTCACAGTAACGTCTGCCCTCAGAAGACTGAAGACATGCAAAGGCCAGTAAGAGCTCCACCATTTGAAACATTGCTAGCCCATAATAAATAGTTTGATTTATGTAACAAACACACAAAACAGAATGCAGCATTCATGATTCCCATTTTCCAGCACCCCCTGGAAACCCCTGCTGAATTCCTCTATACTGATGCTATCAATGGCTGCAGTAAGACAACAGGGAACATTTCTTTCTTTGTTTCATCTTTTTGTAAGCTGAGGCTTGACTGCTACTTCCAGGTTATCTCTGTTTTTCTCAGTCTTCCTGAAATTCTGCATCTTTAACTCTTTTTTTTTTCAGCTTCTTGACTTCCTACAACGTTTTTCATATCTTGATTATTATTTTTTTACATCTTTATTGGAGTATAATTGCTTTACAATGGTGTGTTAGTTTCTGCTTTATAACAAAGTGAATCAGTTATACATATACATATGTTCCCATATCTCTCTTCCCTGTTGCATCTCCCTCCCTCCCACACTCCCTATCCCACCGCTCCAGGCGGTCACAAAGCACTGAGCTGATCTCCCTGTGCTATGCAGCTGCTTCCCACTAGCTATCTACCTTACGTTTGGTAGTGTATATATGTCCATGCCTCTCTCTCGCTCTGTCACAGCTTACCCTTCCCTCTCCCCATATCCTCAAGTCCATTCTCTAGTAGGTCTGTGTCTTTATTCCTGTCTTACCCCTAGGTTCTTCATGACATTTTTTTTCTTAAATTCCACATATATGTGTTAGCATACGGTATTTGTCTTTCTCTTTCTGACTTACTTCACTCTGTATGACAGACTCTAGGTCTATCCATCTTGTTACAAATAGCTCAATTTCGTTTCTTTTTATGGCTGAGTAATATTCCATTGTATATATGTGCCACATCTTCTTTATCCATTCATCCGATGATGGACACTTAGGTTGTTTCCATCTCTGGGCTATTGTAAATAGAGCTGCAATGAACATTTTGGTACATGACTCTTTTTGAATTATGGTTTTCTTAGGGTATGCCCAATAGTGGGATTGCTGGGTCCTATGGTAGTTCTATTTGTAGTTTTTTAAGGAACCTCCATACTGTTCTCCATAGTGACTGTATCAATTTACATTCCCACCAACAGTGCAAGAGTGTTCCCTTTTCTCCACACCCTCTCCAGCATTTATTGTTTCTAGATTTTTTGATGATGGCCATTCTGTCATGTCTTGATTATTGACAGAAAGCAATAGCAACGTTTTGTATTTCTGGCTATTTCAGTTACCTTTGCTCTAAGCAAATTTGCTTTATAAGATATATTTTTATAAAACCCTTCACACCAGGCTTTCATGGCAAGATAGGCTGATAAGTTCATAAAATAACCTGATGGACACACTCAATTTGCTATTTCTGACAAGTGTAGAATATATCTGTCGTGGGGAGCTGGCTTCAACTGTTTCTATGCGATTTCACAACCACAGTGAGAGAAAGGGCTATGGGGATGCAGAGGGAACTTGGGCAATGTGTGAGAAAAGTTGTGGTGGCAGACTGGCCTCTGATGGCATCAGCAATCACCTGGAATATAAACTTGTCAAGATTCTAGACCTGAACAAAGCAAAGATACTGCTAGACAGACAAGGACTCAGAAATGTTATTGCCTGTGCTCCCTTTCCGGACGAACAAACAATATTTGATTTGACGTGTTGGATAAACTCCAGCCAGACAAGAGAAGAATTCAACAAAGAGGAAAACATAGGATTTAAGAAACTGAAACTGAGAACTGCAGGGAAAGAAAAGCTGCTTTACGGGGCAACGAACATTGAAGAGCTGATTAGAAACATCTAAACAATCACAAAGGCACACTGTTCAAGAAAGTCACGATCTGAAAATAAAGCAAACTATAGTTTTTAAATGACTCTGAGAACTGAAGAAGCAGAAAGAGCAGCATTTTCCAGACTACGAAGGCCGTGCCTCCCTTAGCTAGGTAATTCGGGGTGGGAGTGGGGAGTGGGGAGTGGGATTGACGGGTGCTCTAATTTTGTGAACCATCATTTTGGATTTATAATAGTTGCTAACCACAATTGTTTCCCCATGATGCACTTTGTTGTTTCTTTTCACTTTGACTGCCTTTTATAGAATAGTTTTATAGGATCTTTTTAGGTGATGTATTCAAATCATTTACCAGTTGCTATGGCATGAGTCCTGACCAATTTCAACAAATATTTATTGAGTGCCTCCATGTGCCAGACATTATCCTAGGTGCTTGGAATACATCAGTGAACAAAACCATTTCTGCCCAAGTAGAGCTTACCTTATAGTGATGCAGACACATCAGAAACAATAAATCAGTAAGAGAGGACAAAAGAAAGGGAGCAGGAAAGAGAAGCAGGATTGGGAACGCAGAGGGTAGGAACAGGGAGAGGAAGGTAGTAGTGTGGATGGAACTTTTAAATCGGGTGGTCACGGAAGGCTTCATTGAGAAGATGAGACTCAAGCAAAGACTTGACAGAGATGAGGGCATCAGGCAAGCAGGTATCTGAGGGCAGTGCGTGGGGGCAGAGGAGAGCTGGTGCCAAGCCCTCAGGCTGGAGTGTGCCTAGTCTGCGGCAGGGACCGCAAGGAGCCACGGTGGCTGGAGTGGGGGCTGCAGTGGAAGGAGAGGGGCGAGATAAGTGTCCTTGTCCCTCCATCCCTCCACCAACCCGAGAGGAGTGCAGCTCTTACCCTGAATGACATCCCACCCACTGAAGCATCTTAAGCACAAAGGCCAGCGTCTGACTTTCATTTAAAAATGATCGCAATGGTTGTTCTGATGAAAAAAGACTGTAGGAGGCATGGGAGGAAGCAGGGGGTCTGTCAGGAGGCTGATGCTGCCATCCAGGTGAGAGAAGATGGCACCTTGGATCCAGATGGGCAGTGGTGGGTTCTGGATATACTTGAAAGTTAGAGCCGTTGGGATTTCCTGACCAACCGGATGTGGGAGTGAGGGAGGGAGAGGGGTGAAGGACCACTCCTGGGCGTGGAGGATGGTGCCGATCCGGGAGGGGCTGGAGCAGGACCCTGGGAGCCTCTTGCTGGCCCTTCAATGCTGTGGCGGTGTTAGGGGAGTCTCCTGGGGGGCGGGAGGCGCCAGGACAGCAGGGGCACCTGGGGAGATCTGCGCATGTCTGTTTCCGTGCTTACCCGCCATCGGCAGCCCTGGATGTTGTGCTTCCGGCTCAGCTTTTCCTCATTCGTTTCTCTTGGAGAATGAACCTAAAAGTAGGCTTAGATCTTAAACTTATTTTAAATTAAAAAATAGGTTTTTGATTCTCCAGTTAGATATCAGAGAGGTCTTCTGATTTTTAGGGGACAGCTGACTAAGTTTAACTACCTGAAAACAAATGTTACTCATTAAGAGACATTAGTTAATTAAAAAAAAATACCGAGGGCTTCCCTGGTGGCGCAGTGGTTGAGAGTCCGCCTGCCGATGCAGGGGACACGGGTTCGTGCCCCGGTCTGGGAAGATCCCACATGCTGCGGAGCGGCTGGGCCCGTGAGCCATGGCCGCTGGGCCTGTGCGTCCGGAGCCTGTGCTCCGCAACGGGAGAGGCCACAACAGTGAGAGGCCCTCGTACCGGAAAAAAAAAAAATACCGAAAGTATACTAAACAGAAAAGAAAAAAATTAGGGAAAGCCTGAAACCTTTGGACACCACAGTTTTTACCCTGACATTTTGATTGGAAGGGTGTTGTAACTCAGGAGACATTTTCTCATAAAAGTACATACTTTGGGACTTCCCTGGTGGCGCAGTTGTTAAGAATCCGCCTGCCAATGCAGCGGACACGGGTTCAAGCCCTGGTCCAGGAAGATCCCACGTGCCGCGGAGCAGCTAAGCCCGTGCGCCACAACTACTGAGCCCGCACTCTAGAGCCCTCGAGCCACAACTACTGAGCCCTCGTGCCACAACTACTGAAGCCCGTGAGCCTAGAGCCCGTGCTCCGCAACAAAGAGTAGCCCCTGCTCACCACAACTAGAGAAAGCCTGCATGCAGCAATGAGGACCCAACACAGCCAAAAATAAATAAATTTTTAAAAAATGAAAAAAAAAAAAAAAGATGGCTGGTTTCAGGAGGCTGCCTCCAGTAAGAATTCTGGCCCTGGCCAGTGAATGCACACGCTCACGTGTGCGCGTGTGTGCGTGTGTGTGCGTTGGGAGGTTGTGTTTCCTGCTGTTAACGGAAAGAGGACAGGTTGATCAACTAAAACAAAGAGACCAAGCCAGTGGACATCATTGTCAACAAAGAGACAGCATGATGGTAGTTGCCAAGGAATATGAGGAATAAAAAGAAGAAGGAAGTGCGATTATATTGCGGGTGAAGGAATAAAACTTTAAGCAGAAATATTGTAGGTAAAATAAAATAGATGAAGGATTTTATATTAGAAAAAAATGTAATTTTAATTGGGGAAAATCATTGTGAACGCATGACCTTTAACAGAAATATGTTTTTCTGACTGCAGCCCATTAATATCAGCACTTCTGCCAACCCCTGACTCTCACTGAAAGGAATTGAGACTTCTTGAAGGAGGATTCTGCATCTTGGAGCAAGGAAAATTTAGGATGGGCTTAGAAAACAAGGGTTTCAGACAGGTAATGGTGGAAGGATAAGGAAGCCATGGACCAAAATGCAACAATTTTGACACCAAAAAAGAAAAACCAATTATGATTAACTAAAATGAGTTGAGTGTGTGAAAAACCTCAAGATAAAGAAGTTGATGTATGATTTCTTCAAAAGATAAATACACCCAAATATGTTACCTTTAATCAATAGAGTGTCAATAAATCTGGACTTTTAAGATTAAATTAGTAGCCTCATACATTTTTTACTGTGTAATCAGGAAAGTGTGACTACAAGAAGTTAATGTGAGACAGATAGTTCTGGAAAAAGGTAGAAATTGTACCAAGAACAGGAAAGACTGATCAAGACTAGTGGTCACACATAATAAACAGAAAGTATATGTGTGGGGGTCTCACAGTGGAGCAACTCCAAAGTTTTCCAAGATGAAGAATTACCC